ATGCAATGTTTCTCTCCACACCCCCATCCTTTGTACCCCCTCTATAAAAGCCAATGTGGTGTGCTCAGATTACATTCATAGTTAAAGCTTGTCCTCCAAAGAAACCCACATATACACCCACTAATTCTCTCGCATATGTATATTCACACGGGCACACGCATACAACTCCACTGCATTCTAAAACTCTAAATTCATGCAAAGCCCTGCTTTTACTGACTGCCTGCACTGTCCAAAATGAAAGTGTGAGGGAGGAGAATGAGTTCAAGGGAGAGAAGAGAGCAAGATACATTCGGCACTTGCCCACACCATACTTTAATGAGAGAAGATGGGGTGGAAAGGGCACTCATCTTGCCCCCACCGAAAACAACACAAGTGCTGAAGCTCACTGTGACAGCAAGGGTCAAACAATAAAGCATGTTTGCTTTTCCAGCCCAGCGAGTGGAAGCATCTGTTACAGGCAGGCCCTTCTCTTCATCTCAGTCAGCAGCCGCTGTCTCTTCTGTTCTTAACAGTGGAGCAGACACCCCCCCCTCAATCCCCAAACTCCCCTGACCATTCAAACACATGCCATGACACACCAGCTCTAATAGAAAGTGGCTAATTTCCACATTTATTTACAAATACACTGTTTGCCTTTAGCTAAGCCCCAGGGCAGGTCACTCCCAGCCCATCATGATGTGTGGACTCTTTGGCAGAGCTGGCAAGCACGGCAACACACTCGCTCAATTAGCATAAGCACACAAACTGCGCTGTTAGAGAACAGACAGGAACACAGGCTGAGAATCACCTGAACTCATTAATCATTACACAGCCTTTCTTGACTTGGGAACAACTGTTGGCCTCTTTAGAGGTGTTAATATTCTCACTAATGGCAAACTGGAGGGCACAAAAGGGCAGAGGTGACAAAATATGAGCAATACATCTGGTGGCGCGGTAAAGGACTGGCACACGACATTTTACATATAGGTATGTTAGTAGTTCAGTGAATTGCATCTTTGGTAATTGTGCATAAAGTCTTGCACTGGATGGAGCCTAAATTTAAGCAATATATATTCAGAAATTATTCCTGACATAAACGTATTTTTTTAATATTCATAAGCATGAGGATAAAACAAGAGAGGAACCAAGACTCAAGAGAGGAACCAAGACTCAAAAGAGGAACGCTTTTTCCGAAGTGGAATTATGATAGTGGTGTAAGTAATACACTCCCTCCACGGGCTAGACACACAAGTAACAGAATGAATGTAACTGCATCTGGTCACACTTGTGCAACAGTCTGATTATGGAGGCAGAACTCTCCCCATTTATGGACTGCTGTTACACAGAGAGACTTACCAGAGCTCAAGGCTGGTGTTGCCCTGGCCCTATCTCTTTTTGGTGGGGAGGAAACACAAGACAGTATAACCCTCTCTCTTAATTAGAGGGAACAGATGCTAGCCAAGTAAACACAGCTTGATATGCTCAACAATAAACTGCATCAGTCTGCTGGAGTTTGCACCACTGACAAAAAGTTCTTGTTGAACTATGTACAAGCCCCTAGTGCTGTGTAAAGTGCAAAAAGTGCAAATCCCCCCCAACACATACACACACTCACACACACACATACATACATATACATATTCACAGTGGTTTTCTTGCGACTCACCAAATCATTTACCCCTGTAACATAACCAGCTACACTATGTCAGTTAGCTTGGCTGATCTGTAACTGTTAAACACACCAGCATCCTTGCTTTATAACACAAAGATAAACCCTACTTTGAGTCATTTAGAGTAATTTCACTGTAGGAAAATATTTAATGAGACATAATGGAATATCTTTTCTACACAATGGGAGCCCAGTCCTGGTGCTACCACCCTGGTGAGCTTAGATGCAACACACCTGCCTCTAATAATTTGATGCCCTTGTAAGCTTTCATTACCTAGATCACATGTGTTTGATCAGGGTTGAGCAGCCCTGCTCTAGACCATAAAACCAATTTACATTAATAAAAATCCACAAATAACTTTTCAATATAAAAAGACTTATAATGAAGATACAACTCACTGAAGGCTGAACAAAGTGTGTCTAAAGCATGATAAATAAGGTTATGGAGGATTATTTTTGATATGGTTATTGTAGTTGTCCACTGTATTTAACTGTTTCAGTAGTTACAATGCACTCCTACATAATGCAAAATAAGCAGAACTAGACATTTGCTTGAAATCACCAAACTGGTTTCAGTTCTACACTAATATTTAATTGATGTTTATGATCAACTCAATGAAGCTTTAATCAAACCATGGTGAGGGCATTCAACATACATAGGCTGACTTGTAACCATTAGTTAAATTTCAAGCAAATCACAGAGAAAAAATAATGTATTTTTGCTGCAAATTTACTAAACCTGTTTGATTGAAAACCATCTCAATGTGTGTTAAATGTAGACATATATGATACATATATTTATAATTAGCATAAATCAAAATATTAATGGAAAATAACAAGTCAAAACACTAAATTAACTGTTAATATGTGTGTTTGCTTATATTACAAAAGTAATTCTATGAGTATAATTGCATGTATAATACAAGTGGCAGTAGCCAAAGAACTCATTACTTTAATATTTCACACTAAAAAACAAATTCAGTATTTACTATTTATATCACAGTTGGCACGCGGCAAGTCTTTCCATCCATCTTTCCGATGACCGGGCCTGAATGGAGTAATTTATTGCAACAGCATTTTTTTCCTACAAAGGAAGTGAAATAGGCAAGCTTGCACATGCAAAAAACGGTGTAAAAAAGTTCCCAATTATTTTTGTTTCAAAAGAGCCACGCTCCCAGTTTGCAACTTGTGTCCCATGACGCTGAAGATAAATGTTTACAACACACTACTGCATTTTTTAATGGAAGGCTGGAGTCTTGGAACTTTTCTGGAATGTGATTGTTCCAACAATGAGAAACTGATTTTCTAAATCAACAGCATAAAAACATATAACAGTTTGCAGGGCCATGTGTTGTGCTGTTGTGATATCAGTATGTTTTAACCAGCACTGGAGTTGAACTTACTACCTGTAATGGATAACTGTGAATTAGAATCCATAAAGTCTCAAACAGAAACTGATTAATACCCTACCAACACAATGCATCAGATTAAGATGTGTGGTGTTAATTCGGTCAAGCTATATGCATTAATTTTGTGGTGCAATCTGGCTTGCTCCCTTCCACTAGACCATGTAAAAAGACACACTGCTTCTGTTAATTGCTCAGTACAGACCCAGACACTGCAACTGGACAAGTAGCAACATGAAAAATATGAACCTTTTAGTGCTGTTTGTGCACACATAATTCAATAAATGTATCAACTTGAATTAAGTACATTATTTCCAACTCTTCTACATGCAAGAAAACAAATTAAAATGTTTAAAAAAAGTAGGCAAATAGGGTCTTGAACAAGCAGGCTTTGTGAGTGCTTAATGATAAACAAACTAACTGCCAGGACATGCAGAAAACAAATCCTGCAATTCATCCCTGCACCGCCTCCACAACTCTGGCCTTGTACTGAGGTGATGTGTTTGGGTCTGTAAAGCAAATGTAACGTGACCTGTGCTCTGTGACTGTGCCAAGCCAACAGCTCACAAACAAGAGACTCAAAATAACATGCATGCATGTACAGATTCAACAAAAAACACTTAATTACAAACAGTATGACCCAACATAAGCTTATATGAAGGGCACCAAATGCCATAAAAGCGTCCAGTCCCAAGAACCCACAAAGCTCACGCATAGTGCAACTGTAATTGGCAATTACATCTGTAATAACAATGTCTTAAATTCTAAGAGATTAAAAAGGTGACTACATCAAAGCATTTGCAAAGTTCAGGTAATGTTTTTGAGGGGTTATCAGAGAGATTCCACACTGACAATATAGTTTTTTTTTTTTATTATAGGTTTTTTTTTCTTCATCGTCAGTGCCCATAATTCTGAAGAACACCATCTTTGGGTCCCCAAACACCCACCCAAGGTGTTTAGTACACAAAGTCTATTAAGATTTTCCTTTCCCTTACACTCTAGTCGTTTTGGAATGCTGGCCATAGTGGAGTGTCCTCATCGCAGTGCAGTGCTAAAAAGGTGCATCGCAAAATCAGAAGCTTTCGCACCCTGAATGCATTTTTAAGTTTGAATTTTTTGCAAGGTGACTAGATTCGAAAAGTGTTCGCGGAGTTCATGTTAGAGCTCTCTTCCAAAACTGGGACACTGGAGGTGTAACCCTCATCAGAGGTCCTGGGAAATCATTTCAGAAAGCAGCAAATTGCAGGGTTTCCCCCCTTCAGTGCAGTCCATGTAGGAGAGAAGATTACCCCCCCCAGTGACGTCACAGGCTCACCTTATGAATAAAGCTCAGCCTCTTTATTCAGATAGAGGAGCATGTTAGTACAGGTGCGAAAAATACAACCTAACAGTTCCATTTTCTGGATTTGCTCAGTCATTCTGAAACAAGGAGTTCAACAAAGGTGATGTGGCTACCGGCAGTGAGTTCACATCTTTAACATTCCCATTAATACACATCAGTTAATAAAGCCTTCAGTTCACGTTAGAGTGCTCCAATCGTACACGAGCGCTGCCGCTTAATAACGTCCTCCACGCCTGAATGCAGCATGTCTGAGGCGATGTAGTATTTTTAAGCGTTGTGGAAAAGCATGAGGAACGCTGGATGTCCATTTAGAGCAGATTTGCGATACTGTGGAAGCAGAAGGCTTCCCTGGTACTTCCGCATACATACAAATTATCTTCACTGGAATCGTGAATGTAGCTCGTTAGAAATGACAACAAAAATATGTTCGAAACAGCTTTTTCAACGGCTTAAAACGTGGACTAACAAGTGTCTGTAATACATTCGAGCAGCCTGCGTTTTGGAAACCAGTGAATTGTTCACAGAAAACGGACTAGCAACGCACACACCTGTAGAAATGAAGCAGCCGCGTGGACGAGGCAAGAAAACAAAAAAATGAACTAACCTTTTCTGTTGGCCTTCCTGTCAGGGAGAAGAGGGCATTGGGAAACCGCAGAGAAACGTGCAACTCCCGGGACCTTCCTCCTTCTGCTCCTCCTCCTCCTTCTTCTTCACTGCATGAAAGTACGTCCAGTCTCCCGAGTCTTCTGTGTGGAAAAAAACGCTCCTTTCCTTCGAGTATCTAAACCAGACCGTCAGAGGAGAAACGTCCCTCCGTCGACACGGTGGCGTGAGGAGAATAAACAAGTCGTTTTTTTTCTCTCAAAAGAGAAAACAAACACCTCAACTCCAGAAAAAAAACTCACAGCAGCTCGATATGTACGTTTCTGACCACAAGGTTTAACAGACACACACTTCTTCCGACGGAGACCGCTGACAGAATGGCGCTCGGTTAGTTAGCCTGGGGAAAGTAAGTTCGGTTAGCGCCAGTCCGCCGCCAAACTGCACTCAACTGGGCGTTTTTAGCCTCATAAGCTCGAGCTCGGAGTCCACGAGACAGAGCGCGAAAGGGAAAATGTCTTATATAACGGCAGCGCGCGCGAGAAGAGAAGAAGTAAGTAAGTAGCTATAGGAGGCGCCTCTTCGAAACAAATCCAGCCTCTCTTTTCCTCCCTCTCTCTCCTCTTCGGTCGAGAAGCCGCGGGAGGAGATAACGATAGATGGAGGGTAGGCTCCGTTTCGGTTCGAAGGTACGGCTAAGTGTTTACTCTGGGGTTGTTTTTGTGGTGGGTGGGCTCCTTTTCTCCTCCCTAACGGAAAGGAAAAAGTAGTGCGGGAAGGAAAACGCAGCCTTCTCGCCTCGCCTCGCCACGCCACGCCACGGGGAAAAAAAAGAAAACGACACCGCGCCGTGCCTGGAAATCGAAAGAGGGGAGATGACAAGCGGCAGAGAAGCGAGCGAGGGCTGGGTGGGAGTTTACCGCGGAGAGGGAGGGACTTCGCTCGGGCTTTGAGGGCCTTGGGGTGGAAACTGAGCTGTGGGCTGGTCGAAGATCAGGGCGCTAAGCCTGCTAATGCTGATCGGGAGCTGGGAGAAGCTGATCCAGAGTCAGCGTTTCTGCTCTGAGGGCGAGATGATCTACCCCACCCGCGGCTGGCTCTCCTCGTTGTAGGTGAACCATAAGGGAAACTCGAGTTATGAGAGCAACAGGAGGGCTGCTCATCAGTCTGATGTGCAAATGGGCGCCCAGATTCACGCCGCATTAAACAAAGTAGAATTAGAAAGACTAGGCGCGTCCTGCTCTAGTTTCTGTTGTTCAGACTGCCCTCGATCAGACGACACCATAATGCTGATAAAAAGTGAACTAAATCTCATGCACGAAGCGATAAGTGGGCCACTCCTCCTCAGTGAAGAGGTTTTGTCTGTAGACTGTCTTTAGTGGCGAATAATAGGCTGCGCCCAAAAGCGTGTACTCTTAAATAGTGTGTCAAACAGTAGTACATAGAGTAGGTATAGTATGTGGTTCTAGAGACAGCCTGCGAATGATCATAGTTACTGTAGTTACATAGTTATAGTACTGAGACGTGATGCCTGGAAGAAGTGGTCAAACACCAGGTGGTGTGACCAACATTTATTGTTTCAGACTTCAAGCAGGTTTGGCCGGACCTGTTTCCTTACTAGGTATAGGTTTGTTAAGACTCACCAACTATGCAGTGGCCCCTTGCTTAAATTGAAAAGAACAGGCATTCATGTACTGATTTGTTATAACACAAAGAAAAGTGGGCTTAAGCACTGTAAGGCTATGTGAAGAACCTCAAATGGTTAATGAAAGCATCCAGTCCACAAGAGAACCTGAGCCCAAATCTGATGCAGCATGTAGCCATAGCCCAAAACTGACCTCTAGATCCAGAACAATGTGCAAATCGTCAAAGACATCGAAGTTGTTAAGGACACTGAACCTCTATTGTTGGTTGTTCTCAGACTCACTAAAGCAGGCCTATTAAGATGTTAATTTCTCCTGAATTCTAGTTGCCGGCTATGGCTGAGTGTTCTCATCACAGTGCAGCATTGAAAAGCTGTATTGCAAACTGTAAATGGCTTTTATACCTTGCGGATATTTGAGAGTTTGGAAATATAACATTCCTTAGGGTGTGCCTCCTGAAATACTGGCACACTGAAGAGTTTATCAAGGTGCCATCTGAGCTGTGTACAAAGTTTGAGGTTCAGTGTGGAGGCGGCCTAGCATTGAAAGACTGTTTATTGGATTTTTTTTTTTTTATTTGATTTAGTCTGCCATAACCTCCTGATTATATAAACAGAGAGAGTTTAAAAAAGAAGACCCCATGTAGTCTCAGAAGAGAATAAAACCCCTGTTTGAAGCCTGGGGAGACACGTCCCAAAGGAGAGGGTAGAATGTATTCTTAGCCTCCTGCAGGTCTCCTATCACACAGGGATCGGAAAATGGAATGGTGTATTTACATTTGATACAAGTGGTGTTGTGGCAGCACTAGCAGGCAGTAGCTTAGAGAATGTTGCCAGCAGCCAAGAAGACACACTGTTCTTTCTCCTTCCTTCAACCTCTCATATTTTGTAAGATTTGTGTTACGCTAAAGGCATAGTGCATACGTGACATTCATGAAAGCTGAGCAGGACAGTGACCAATGTTCTTAAGATTTACAGCCACTGCTAAACATGTGGCTTATGAGCTACATTTCAGCCTTGGTCAGTAAAGTTACCATGGGTGAATGAATTCCTGGAAAGTTAAATGTGTTATGTTTTGCATTATAGTGATATGATAATTCTCTAGGTCTTCTACACTCATACTCTCCAGATTTTGAGAGTTTATTGTATGCTGGCAATTTTAATGTAGGATTTCCCACAGGGAGAATACTTCATTAAAGTGATTTGCTATCTATCTTTAACCAAACTCATAATGGTTTGCATTATAGTTATATTATAACTCTCTAGGTCTACATTTATACTCTCTAGATTTACAATTAAGTTTGACAGTTAATCTTACACAGGCAATAGAATTTTTTTAGAGAGGGGAAAATAACTCATTGAATGCATCTGCTATGTATCTTTAAACAAACATTCATGGGACACTTAAGTAAACATCAAAGCAAATGTTGATGATCTTTATTTTCATATTCCAGCCTCATAAACGAGATCCACCAAATAAACAGCATGCTTGAACTTCTGCTCTCGGCTCTACAACACTCTAATGGCTCATTTTCAAAGAAGAAAAGAACCATAAATGGATGAAAAAGAGCTGCAGAGCAGCAAGTTAAATGTTGTAAATATGGATGTAGAAGTCTCAGTTTATGTTTATTACAATCCCAGCAACTTGTGGGGGTCCCAGAGCAGCAGGCGAGTCTGGGGGCTGAGGAGGCAGATGGCCCAGCCGGGGAAAGATGAAATGTTTAGGGATGATGGAGAAAAGAACCAGAAAGAGTTTTTCCTTCAAATTTTAATACAGCAAAGCACAAAATGCCAGGAAAAACGTAATCTGGATGGCTCCCCAAAGACCCAGATATCATGCCTTTAAGCCTAAAACTACACGTTTGTGATGTAGTTTTTTTGAGGAAAAAGATTAACTGTTAGATTACACTTGAAGGGACCAAAAATGTTTCTTTGGAGCAATGCCATAGAAGAACCACATTTGGGTCTCTAAAGAACCTTACAGTGGGTGGTTCTTTAGAAAACTATTTGTGTAAATAAGATGTGCAGGTATGAAGAACATCCAGTCTTGATGGGGAATTTTAGTTTAGGATTAGACTTAACACTTGCCTGGGAAAGTCATTACTCAAAGAATGTTCCAAGAGAATATGACCTTAGCATTACTTAATCTGTAAAACAGGGTAACAAGAGCATGTATGGCTACCAGGGAAACTGGCTGACTTGTTCTTACTAGACATGGGTGATATAGGCAAAAAAGTAACATCACAATACTTCAAGAACACAATATGTCAAAATATTTATTTTTTTTCAGACATCTGATAAATTGGAAAAAACACAGTAGTGCCACATTTAAAATACTATGAAAAACTATGAATACAATGATTTATATTCAACATTTCACACACTGAGCTGCAATTGCCTTTGCAGTAAAAAATGCAGTTGGGAAGGGTTTTTTAAGTAGTGACAGTATCCACAAAAAGCATATTGTGATGTAATTTGTTACAGTAAATATTGTCATATTGCTGAGTCCCAGTTCTCTCTGATGAAATAAGCAACTCTAGCACCTGAATGGATTCTAAAGTGTACCAGTTTAATTTAAAACAACTTAAATGCTTGAATCTAATCAACTTCCTCAAAAAACAATAGATATTGCTTCACATTCCAGCAGGAAAATGATACTAAAGCTACTTTTTTTTTTTTAAATCCAGGCCAAAAAGCAAGATGTCAGTAGAAAGGTATTGCCAATATAATGTAGTGTCAGCTTCAGTGGTAAAAGTCACATTGAGTTGCAGAGCAGTGGATCTGCATTTTCTGGAGTGATGGAGCACGATCCAGTACCTTTGGCATGAGTAGGAGTGGCATCTGTGATCCAGGCCAAATCATTCAATATCAGTTACTGACCTCACTGTGTAATCAAATCCTCACAGCAATGTTCCAATGTCTAGAGTAAAACCTTCTCAGAAAAATATAGGCTGTTACTGCACAAAAGGGGGGCAGACTCCTCTTTAATACCCTTGATTTCAGGAGAAATGTTGGACAAACAGGTGTCTACAGACTTTTGGACACAAACAGTGTCATGAAAAGGTATTTGCACCGTCCCGATTCCTTCTATTTTTGCATATTTGCAAAAAAAAACACCTTGATGACCCCAAAGCCTTTTGGAATACTGTCCTGTGGACTGTCAGAAGTGGAACTTTGTGAAAGACAGTTGTGCTGTTATATCTGGCGTAAAACTAACACAGCATTTCACAATAAGAATATCATACAGTCAAACATGGTGGTGGTAGTGTGATGGGGACATTTCTGCTGTTTCAGGGCCTGGAGGACACATGAATTTTGCTCTGTACTTCCTGCAGGAAGTCCTGCAGGAGAATGTCTGGTCATCAGTCTGTGATCTGAAGCACAAGAGAAAGTCTACCTCTGAATTGCTCTAAAGAAACAAAATAAAAGTTTTTGAGTGACCCCCACTGAGATGTTGTGGTAGGACCTTAAATGGGCAGTTCATACTCAAAAGTCCTCCAGTGTGGCTGGATGAAAGCAGTTTTGCAAAAGAGTTCCTCCAAAGCCAAAGCGTTGTGGAAGACTAATCTGCAGTTATAGAAGGCATTTGGTTGCAGTCAAGGTTTAGGGGGGCCATCACTGTTTCACACGGTTGATATAGGGGTTTGCAACCTTTTTTCCTTTAATAAATGAAATGATCATTTTGAAACTGTGTTTATTTTTGTTTTCCTTGTATTACATTTTGTATGAGGATATGAAACCATTTAGTGTGACAAGTGTAAAAATAGAGGAAATGTTAACTACTTCTGGTAACCTGAAATGTATAAATAGGGCTGTGCATGATAGATATAATTGCTCTCAAAGCTATAAGTTTGCACTTTAACCTCATAATCATTCTTTCAAATCCTGAATTGTCGTGTGAATACAACAAAATTGTGCCATTATCCAAATACTTACTACACTGTATATATATATTTAAAATGTTTACATGCCAAAAATGCAGACTTACTTTGCTCTGCTTTAAGCTTTAGCTCAGCTCTAGCTGCTTTTTTCGCATCTCCAGCAGGAAACTGTTCTGCAAAAGTGGAATAGTTTCTTGTAAAACCTCTCTCAACATTTGACTTTTTATGAGGCTGAAGTCAGCTCCTCAATCACCAGCTTCTTGTTCAAATTTTCCCGTTCCACCTTCAATAGTGCCTGAGGCGCCAGAATGGAACTGCTGCAAGTGGCTGGCGAATGGGAAACTGACCTCCGCTTCGTGACTTTTTAC